GCCGTCGACTTTTTGGGTCTAAGACATGTCAGTTTCCTCACGATGTTTTCCTTTCAAGCAAATGTTAAATGGGGACATAAAAAGAAAATCCATTGGTGCACAGCCGGGGATCGAACCTACGACCCCAGGTATGAGTGTCGCACGCTGAAGCCACTAGGCCAACACTGCTCTTATTATTTTATTTCAAAGGGTTCCTAAATCGTACACATTATAGTGCATTGTTTATTATGTACGGCTAACTAGACATAACTATTGACCAAAGTCAAAAATTTTAGAGAGATTGGTACAGCTTTACCCCAAGTCCACTGAACCCGCAATACAGCTAAGTGCGGCACCGTGATGGATGATGTTTGTCCAACAAATAGTTTTCAATTCTGTGTCGTCCGCTACAAGATCGCTCACGAAATTGATATTAGGGTTTCCGAATTTCTGTAAAAATATATTACCTATACAGCTTATGTATTGGAATGATATTTAATATTAAATATTATTGACAAGCTTTGTCAAACGTGTAATGATATTGTATTAGGTGAGCCGAAAAGCTCGTAGGCTGACACATTGATGGGCGCTACTAGTATTTATGTATTAAAGTTTCCCATATCATACATAATGCTATATTTATAGTGTATGTTACTAAGCTATCTTTTCTAGAATATGTATATGACAATTTTGGTAAACATATTTGCAAACAATTTAAAAAAGATAGAACATTGTATTTCTTACACATATAAAATAAAATGCTAGTTATTTTTGCCAATTGTTCAGCAAAAGAAACAATTTCCATCAAAACGGCGGTCTAGGTATGAGATATGCTTTTTTAAAATTGATCAGCCCACTACCGAATATATCCAGCTGTATACCGGAGTACTGTTTAATCCGTTATAATTGCGAAGAATTCTAATGAGAGGTGCCTGAACTTTATTAAATTAATATGATTTTTAGTTAACCTTCAAAAGACGCGTGTATAAATTTAACTACTACATATTAAGTTTTGTGAAGTATAGGATTTTGAAGAACTTTTGTTTTTTTAAAAAAAGCTAAGTAAAGACTCTGTCTTTCCTGGAGTTAGCATCTGTATTAGACCATATCAAGAATCGAAATATTAAGAAATATAAATCGTTTTAGTTTTACTTGAAGTGTATGAAAATAGTTCATCGAAATAACAAATAAATTCCCTAAACCAACTAGAAACCAAGCCTTTTAGACGCCGTGTGTGGGCTAATAATGAACTTAATTGTCACTAAGAAATTTATTTAACACAATATCCGATCCACTCAACATTCGTACACCGTTACATCGGACAAAGAAAGTGTTTTTTTATTATCACTGTACAAAACACAAAAGACATGAGGCCTCACTGACATAACAACAAAACGACCTCCGAAAAAAAGTTCAAAAGTGTTTCAATATAAAACATATGACGTAATGCCTTTAGCTTATACACTTAGAGGCTGTTATCCAATGATTAGAATCAAACGAACTGATGACTTGTCAAGTTTAATCGTTGGAAGCCCAGTAGCAACAAGTTAGTAAAATCAATAGTTTGATGAGGAGCGCCCACGCCCACGCGTTGTTCTGTGGGAATTAATCTTGTATATTGTGAACTAAAATTATTAACTCATACAGTCTTGCGATTCTGTAACTCACACATTCACAGCGACGGTCGCTCTCAAATCAGTCGTGGAGCAGTCATTTTATGATTTGGCATTCTGATAAGCAATAAACTACAAGCTCCCATCTTACCAGAAAGTCAAATCATAAAATGACTGCTTGACGACTGATTTGAGAGCGACCGCCGCTGCGAAAACCGCTGTGTGAGTTCGAAAAGTGAGTTACATAATCGCAAGGCAGGTCTCATTTTAAATAACTGATAGATTTTGCTTGATAACATTGCTGAAAGTTAACCAACAATAATGACTCTTCCCTATATGTATATTTAAGAAATGTTCTTGTTATTTCACAAAAAGATAATTTTTATGTCAACGGGAATGGACCACTGTAGGAGAAAAATCGGCTATGCGGCTATATAATAAAAATTATCTGGAATTGTATAGGAAAAACACCTTTTGTATGGCAATCAAGGTTTATAATCATTTACCAAAAACATTCAAACATCCCTTCTACTAGACTTTTTAAAAACGGACTTATTGTTCTACTTTTGAACAAAAAAAATCTATTAATGATTATTTGCGTAAAACATTAATTTGAAACGGACTAATATTTTTATGAATGTGATAAAAAACCGTAAGAATTGACTATGATAATATGACTCATAATGTAATTGTAACTTCTATTTAAAGTTCTACATTTTAAGACAAATTTTCACACCCTTAATTGTCACAGAATATAAAACTTTAAATTGTACCATATTTGTACCCTATTCTTACAAATAAATTATTAATCTAATATAAAAAAGACCGTTACTATATTAATCTCCAAATTAATTCACCGTCTGTAATCTACGGTAATTGTTATATATCATCAAATAATCTATGTTTACCAGTCCGGCATCAATGAAGGCTCTCTTCTAAACTGAACGGGCTGAGGTGTCGAGTGTTACCTTTATGGATACAATAAACCACCCACAGAGATGAGAAAAAACTTCATTCACCACCTTACACGTTTATTTGTCTTGTTTTGTTTTTTCTATTAGGATTCAATAAACATATAAATATTTTTTTTGACTTTACTATGAAGCATCGGACCTGGAAAGAAGATCTCGAAAGGACGGAGGAAGGATAAGAATGCACCCTAAGAAAAGGTGGATAGAAGACATAGAAGCGTTAGCAGGAAGGGAATGGAGAAATAAAGCCATGGATAGAGATATTTGGAAATAGCTGGAGGAGGCCTTTACCCATGAAGAGGTTCCGATCAATGGTACTGCATGAAGCTAGGACGAGTAGTAAGAAAAATAAATGTATATAACAAATCTAAACTGTATATTCATCATTTGTGAACGGGATTTATTATTATTTTTAAGCATCGAATTCATTTGTATTATTAAATAAAAAACTGTATTATTTTAAGGATTCTATACCTACTAGAACCACAATTATATATAATAGATATTACAGATAAATAAGTATCAACTAAAATATCACAAGATTCTGAAGTGAACTTGTAAGGCGACGAACAAATTCGAAATATTACAATAATGTTCAATAAAGTTGGCAATGCCGACACAAGACAAATTAACACCAGCACACACAACCCTTTTGTTCTGTTTATTGCTTTATGACTGTCGTGGGTAAGCCGGAAACTTATGCAACAAAAGTGAAAATATTAGTAAAAGTAATGCAATAACTATTTATTATTATGGCGCCGGCAGGTAAAGGGTTAAGTTTGGTTTAGAATATTTTAATCTTTACAAAAAGATAATGTTTTAATTGGTCTTACAATAGTTTAAATGTCTTACAAATTTAATGTGTGTTATTCCTCTTCGTGTTACAAAGCTAGATTTGGGCATAAACCACGTTTAATTTGTGTTAAACAACTGTGAAACTACGTAAATATGTTTATCGGTTTTACAGAACGCCAAAAACAGATTATTTGATATTATAAGGACTAAATAAAAATAGTGTATTATTTAGTTGTGTTTTTATCGCATAAATTTAATTCTTATGGCCAATTCAGTTCATAGATTAAGTCAAATAAAAACACAGAATTTTGTAAACTTAATTTTATTAACTCTGGAACTAACAGATGATATAAGTAACCTATCTAGATTCGAGTAATATGATATTAATATGTATTTATAACTACAAGATTAAATTTAGCATACCTACGTGTACAATATCAAGCTAATTGATAAATATACGCGAGATCTCTTTGATAAAAATGGATTAAAATAATATACAGAATTCTGCTCAATCATGTCAGAAAAACGTCTCGATGTGAGGTCACAACGATTCATCGAAATCATTCAAGGTGATCGTAAAACTGACGTAATGAATCTAAATTTACAATCTAAGAATTTTCGCATATTTTTATCTCAAATGCTAAATTGAAACTTGCATATAAATATATATTTAAATGGAATGTGCAGAAGCGTAGATAGGTACCTATCTTACACCAAACACCATATAATGTATATATAAATTTACCTTAACGCTATATATACAGAACTTAACCTATACCTATACGATGGTCGAACGACTATATTTCCATTTCGTCTATCTATTAAATTATTTTACACACTTTAAACAAACATTGCACAGTTCTGTCCGAGATATGACATCACCAAATACGCGCATTCTTATACCAAATCTTGAAGACCTGTTCTTCTACATTGTACACAGTAATAATAAATAAATCAATAAATTCGTACATACCCATTTCTTCGACGGTTGCGATATAAAATTTACCGTAGTCAATTTTAAGCGAAAAAACAATTGTTATAACTGAAATACCTGATTCGCGGAAATTCACCGACAGCTTAAAGATATGTTGTTTACTCAAAGGAAAGAATTAAACGCGCGCGGTTATTTTATCAAAATCAATACATATAATGATAATAATTTGATAAGGATAATATTGATCGCATTACTGATGTTATTACACATTTGTTAAGTATTTTGAAAGCTGTTGTTTTGGGCGGATTCGTGGTTGACAATATTGCGAAGTACGTTGCTTGCGCAACAAGCGCACCGGATTAATTATTTTAAAAGTGTTAGTAGCTTTTAAATTCGTATTTTAATTATGTATTATGGTATACGAATGGGCGTCGGTGCAAAACTACAAAGGACACTTCCGAGAGTCCACTAACATTTAGGCCTATTTGGGCCGCCGCCCGGGCTTAGGTGCGTCCATATCTACTCAAACTCGCACAAATATTTACACAATTTACAGGCCGGGCGGCTCTGTATCACAAGAACACAACACGCTCACATGGAGTCCGTCAGATGAGACTTGAAGTTAATTAAATCGCTGGACATTGAGGGCATTTGGGCGGTCACCCGGCGAGGCCAGGCGGCGCCGCGGGCCTACGCCAGCGGATACTGTCACAAGGGCGGCTGCGTGTGGTGGGCATGATGGTGGTACAGCGGTGACTGGTAGTAGTTGTCAGCTGGCGCGTGCCCGTAGCCATAGTTTACGTCGTACATCTTAAGGTCGGACTTTGTATCCGCGCCAGGCAGAAGCCGCGTGATACTGAACGGGTGAGGCGCGGGTGCGTAGCCCGTTGGCTCCTGTTTAAGCTGCGCATAGTGTTCCAGTGATAGTGGCGTGTGTTCCGGAAGACACAGCTCTGGCGCTGCGTGTAACTGTGCCAGCAGCTCATCACGCATTTCTTTATCTTCACCGCCACCCACGCCTTTCTCATGTGAATGTTCACGTTTCTCGTGTCCGCCATGATGGCCGTGTGGGTGCGTCGTCTTCTGCGCTTGTCTTATAGATTCCTTTTTCTCGTCCTTAAAACGTTTTTGTCGCCGCAAAAAGCAGCCGTTTTCAAACATATTCCCGCTGTCGGGGTGGAGCGTCCAAAAAGAACCTTTTCCCGGTTTGTCTGGTGTCCGCGGCACTTTTACAAAACAGTCGTTAAACGATAACGAATGCCGTATGGAATTCTGCCAACGCTGCTGGTTCTGGCGGTAGAAGGGAAACAAGTCCATGATGAACTGATAGATTTCAGAGAGAGTCAGCATTCGCGACGGATTATTCTGTATCGCCATTGTAATGAGCGATATGTAGGAATACGGCGGTTTCGCGTGCGTATAGGAGCGGCGATAAGTCTTGTCGTTGCGCGCCCGTTGAAGCGCCGACGTAGGTGAAGCGGCTTCTTGTTCCCGGGGAAGCGCTCCGTAGGGTACGGCTCCTCCACCGCCCATGCAAGAGGCCATGGTGCTGGGCGGCGAATAGCCAACGCCAGGCGAGCCCATGCAGGATCCACTCGCCACCATGTTGTTGGAGTACAGGTTCGGATACGGTTGCGCTGGCATGCAGCCCATCCCGTTGACATATGGAGGCGCGAGACCCGGCGACAGCGTGGACAGCGACGCGGACGTCGGCACGTCGCCGTACGACAGCTTCTGCGAGATCATGGCTAGCGCATCACACGCGCGTGCACGCCGGCCAGGGGCAAACACTCGCACTGATTGAAAGAGTAAATAGAAGCCGGGGGCTCGCGCTCCCCTCCTAGCTCCGCGATGGGCGCCGTAGGGCGGGGCCGGCCGGGTGCCGCCTCTTCAGCGCGCGCATTGCCCCCCGCCACCGCGCCTCGCGCCCCGCGTCACCCCTCGACCGCGGAACGCGGCCGACCGCCTCTAATATTACTATGGCTCGGAAAGATAAAAACATGGAATAATCATAAGTGTGTTAACTGGTATGTGTACTTGTGTAGAGCTTTGGATAATGTTCGCGTGAATTATATTTCATGTAATATGTGTAACGAAGGTTCTTTGTTTCTGAAACGATGCGTTTTATGACGTCTATGGGATTAAATCCGACGCGAATTTTCAGTGATACGGAAAATCCGATTTAAGAGCATTATGTGCTGTAACCAAGGTTTTGATCTAACGATTAGTAAGGCGTACGAACTTCGTAACGTCAGCGCAGTGATTATTAGGCACACATTTGTGTATAAAGTAGGTATTATACTGGCAACGGACAAACTATATAAAATTGTGCTTTATAAAAGGAATAGGACTAAACTTTTAGATTTTCTTAGCGCTACTGTAATTACAGTACACGGTATTTTTAGGTTTTTTTTATCAAGTTAACATTCTCCATTAACTCCTTGAGATAAACAAAGTAATTATTGATAAATTGAACTGTGGACCTTGTAATCACTTGTAAACAAATTAGTGTGGTACTTTTTGTTTTCATCTCGTAAATGACTCTAATCCGCTTAAATTAAATTAAATAGTGTTTACAGCGACGCTAATTTGTAAGAAAAACTATGGTATATTACCCGCGTTATGTTTAACTGATTTTATAGTTATTTTATTGGCGAAAAATAGCGTTTGTCTAGTGGCTTAAAAAACTTTATGGAGTGCGGTATAATAATTACTTTTTCTTCTATGTGAGCATTAGGTACATCGTATGGCGAAGTAAACCATCATGAGGAATCACGCATGCTTCAGACCAAAATCTCGATGAAGAAGGCAGAAAAGGCTGATCATCTACCTATAAACACGATGGATGGAGAATTGTAGGGCCACTGTCTGTTCATATTATATTTTTTAGATTTTAACGTGCGTCTCTCATCCCTGAGGTCGTAGCTTCGAACCACGGCTGTGCACCAATGTAGTTTCTGTCTATGTGCGCATTAAAAACTCGCTCGTTCGGTGAAGGAAAAAATCATGAGAAAACTGGCTTGCTTTAGACTCCAAAAATCGACGGCGTGTGTCAGGCACAGATTGATTTGATTATTAAAAATGATTGCGAAACAGATACAAAAATATGAGGCCCAGAGCTAAGACGTGCTAGCGCCATTGTGTATATAGTAGTAACATGTATAGGTTATAACTAACTGAATAACAATTGCATTTAAACGCTAATAATCTCCGAATCATGGCAGCGTTATTTAATAGAAAAAAATTACCCCAGCTCCTGTAACCTGCACTTCTGATGCTGGAATCCGTCCCTGGCTTTGCTCACTCAGGCTGTCCCGCGAAAAGGCTGGCAACGCACCCACTAAATTGACCATAGGTGTCCGTGAGCCGCGATGACCACCCCTTTTGGGTTTTTTTGGTCAAGCCCGATTGGCCCCCAATTTCTATTTTAAAAAATCTATATATTTTTGGCATCATTATCTCACGATATAAATAATATAGAATCTTCTATGAAAATAATACAGTATGTCCGTCCAATCTAGATAAAACTAGTCTAGCATAGTGTGTGTGTACCTATCGATAGGCCTCATTTCTTCGTAAAAGCTCTGCTGTGTAATAACTAAAAGAAATAATAAATGCGTATTTTTGCAACCCCGTGATTCAACAAAATAGCTAGAATGTGCAATCAGTTCGAATTTTGAAATTTTTTCGGATCACCCATCCGATTACAGGAAGGACTTTCTGTTATCACTTTCTTAGGTTCTTTCGCTACGTACTTGTATTATAATTTGATGTTTTGTGTCGTTCGCACCTATTATCGTCACCACATTGGTTATATTTAGTAACTAGTTTCTTTCCTTTTTTTTATTATGTGTGGCAGTAAATAAATTCAAACGCACGAATGCAGGGTAGAGACCCTGCTTAAGCCACTAGGCCAACACTGCTCTATTTGCGTGTAAAGTCCTATATTTATTTATTTATAAAAGTTTGCCAACGCTCGGCACATTGATACAATAAAACTGGTACAAGAAAATAAAATACAGTATTTAATGTAACTTATACCTACGCAAACATAACATGCACGAAGAGATAATAAAAAATAAAAATCAAACAATTAGAAAGTCGATTTCAAAGTGTGAGGGGAGCAACTATAACTCCAAAGAGACAGCTACCAACGGTCTTATTTATAAATGTACTATAAATCTCAGTTAGCTCAATAATGTGTCGTGTTTATCTGTACAATTGGGAGGCTTAAAGTTAATAGGGGTAATTAATAATAAATCATTGTGTGTGTGATGCCGTAATTTTATATAAAACATCTGTATTACATATGTTTATTTCAGATGGATTCTGATGAAGCGCTGACGGATGTCGCCACGGGAGTCACTTCCATCCTCGGTCGTAAAAAGTTTTTAATATTACTTGATTGAAATTGTATGATACAAGCTAACTGCACCGAGATGAAATATTTTATTACATTTTCAAGTGAATATTTTCTTGTTTAGAACTACATAAGTTAATCACATCCAAGAACTATATATTTATGATATGCCCCAGCGAACTTCGTGTCGCCTTAATATGTTTTAGTAAGCTTTCTAAGCCTATCTTTTTAGGTTAATTACTATCATATGAAACATTTTGCTATCCTATAGAGACTGTTCGCTTTTTCGGAATAAAAATCTAAGTATATTTTTAAAATTCATTTTTTAATTTTTAGTTAAGGGATTCATAAATTAAAAAATATTGAAATTGTTCCAGCGGTCTTCGAGTTTTGCGCTTTGCAACATATTTTGCGATAAAATATTATTTATAAAGACTAAACAATGTTTAGCTCTAAGCCAATATAACATTGTAGTAAACTTTTAAGTTAATTAAAGAAAATCTGTTTTCTCTTAGAAAGTGGGGTTAAACATTATAAGTAGTTATAGGCAAATATACCTTTATAATAAAATTAATAATAAATCAGTAGCGCTACAACCTATTTAGGTCTGGGCCTCAGATTTCTGTATCTGTTTCATGATCAATGGTCAATCTAATAGGCAAGTGATCAGCCTCCTGTGCCTGACACGCCGTCTACTCTTTAGGTCTAAGGCAAGCCGGTTTCTTCACGATGTTTTCCTTCACCGTTAGAGCGAATGTTAAATGCGTCAAAGACAGAAAGTCCATTGGTGCACAGCCGGGGAGCGAACTTACGACCTCAAGGATGACAGCACGCTGAAGCCGCTAGGCCAACACTGATCTACCTTTATACTATCAGTTCTATTTTCAAACATAATTATTGGTTTCATAAATCGATTGTACTTATAAATTCTAAAAAAATTTAATAGTACTTTTTTAAATACTCAATTTGTTTTAATTTACGTATCTACTATAGTAATAATAATAATTTATTTATTGCAGGTACAAAAATGTGTAAGGTGGTACAATCGTAAGTTCGCATATTCTGTCACACACAATGGCGCGCAAATTTGTCTTAAGGAATTTTACATTTATATTATTAGTCAAAGTGAATTCTTATATTATTTGTATCGTACATATCATACTTTATTAAATTTATATCAACTACAGTGTCTCACGCAAATAATCATTTATTGCATAATAAATTTTTTCCAAAAGTAATACACCAAGTCGTTTTTAAAGACTCTAGTAGGAAGATCTTTTAATTCTTTTGGTATTATGTATAATTGATTTCTAACCGTCTATATAAGTTATAAAAGGACCCAAGCGGAATATGCAACGTGACACCGGAATTCAGCTAATGGCCGAGGCTTGTACCATTACCCCATGTAACGCGAGCTGTATTGCCTGTATGTGCATCTCAGGAATCCACTTTCAATTATATTATGGGAGTGGCTGAAACTCTACACGTTAGGGGGCTATTTGGTGACATATCGCAGTTAAAGTCATATATTCATTTAGGTAATTTCATATATAATGAAAAATGAAAATATCTTTAGACCGAAATTAACAGTGGCACTGAGGATAACAGTAAGACCAGGGGAACAGCGACCTCTTGCTTTTGTTTAATGGACGTCTTAGATTGCAAATCATTTGTCTTTTTTTGTCGCTGAAATGATTATGTATACAAGAAAATAACTTAACTTAAACTAGCGGTTGCTGGATGTTTTCATAAACAGTTCGAATGACAAAATACAATTTAGTAAAATCTTCTTTTTATCCTACTCTTACTTCCACTAAACTAACAAACTATATAGACACAAAATTTATGAATACACAACATGCACAAAACCAAATACACACGCATTAAATTTAACTTTAATCCCACAAGTAGCTGGGTCATCACTTATCATAAATACAATATAAGGCTTGCAAGCCTTCTGGCAGTGTGTGTCCACGGGCTTATCATTTAACATCAGGTGAGCTTTCTGCCCGTTTGCCTCCTGTAACATAAAAAAGTACTTCTATCTAAAATCAGAACCGAATATGGTCGCAAAAATATATCCTATTTCGGAGGGAGTCAAATGCCAAATACGGGAAATAGTAGCAGTGGACTCGTTTCGAATACGCGAAGTTTTTTTTTTAGATAGACTTTAATGCAATATCAGCGTACGACGGTGGCGGATATTTTACTTTTATGAGATGTTTTTAATAAAAAAATCTCATGTGAAACGTATGTTTTAGTGAGAATAAACTTCTAACCTAAATGGCGGCTTTACTATAATCGCTTACTTTTAAGCAGTCTCTGTGATAAGCGCATGTTATAAGAGTATGTTCAAGAAAACTTATACTTTATTAATTTTATAATA